TAAACACATTGAACTTGACCCCATATACATTCCACTATGGAGGAAACCTGGGAGTGAGGCAATCCATCGCAACGGAACCCAGAGTTTAAAAGCCAGGCGGAAAAACACACTGACGCTTCATCAGTGGCTGCACTGAGGATGTTACCAAGCACGGTAACGAAACGTCTGCGGAACAACAAACCAGCTCGGTGAGCCAACCAACCTCAACACCCACAACCCGAGCTACAAATCTACTCCAAAACCTTAGATACTCCTTCTGCCCTTATAATCTTCTGGAGATTCACTCAATCCCAGCTGTCTATACCTGACATATGCCTCCTCCTTTTTTCTTGACCAGAGCTACAATTTCTCCAGTAAAGAATGCTGTAGAACATCTACCAGCCCTGCCCTTCACACTAACAGGAACATATTCAGGAGCATATGTGTTTCTGGACTCTCAACATCTAATTTTTTAAGATTTTCCACTTTCCAACTGTCCCTTTACCTGTGAATCGTCTCTCCCAATCAACTTTTGAAAGTTCCTGCCTAATACCATCAAAATTTGCCTTACACCAATTTGGAATTTTAACTTTTAGATCAGATCTATCCTTTTCCATAACTATTTTAAAACGAATAGAATTATTAATCACTGGCCCCAAAGTGCTCCCCGACTGATACCCCAGTCACTTGTCCTGCTTTGTTTCCCAAGAGAAGGTCAAGTTTTGCTCCTTCTCTAGTAGGTACATCCACATACTAAATAGGTATTTTTTTCTAGTACACATTTAAATTCCTTTCTATTGAAGCCCTTAACATTATGGCTGTCCAAGTCTATGTTTGGAAAGTTAAAATCTCCTACCATTACAACCCTATTATTCTTATAGATATCTTGAGATCTCCTGCGGAGCAGGACATGGAAGTCATAGAACTTGGGGAAATAAATAGTGATATCTTCAGAACTGCACATATTACAGAGGTAGTGGTGATGGACGTCTTAAAACACAAAGGTGGATTAATCCCAGGGACCCAATCAGGTGTATCCCAGAACTCTGCGGGAAGCTAGGGAAAAGATTGCTGGTCCACTTGCTGAGATTTCTGTATCATCAACAGCCACAGCTGAGATGCTTGAACATTGGCAAATGTGGTGTGACTATTTAAGAAAGATGGTAAGGAAAAGCCAGGGTAGTATAGACCAGTGAGCATGACATCAGTGGTGGGTAAGTTGTTGGAGGAGATTCTGGGGGACAGGATTTATATGTATTTGTAAAGGCAAGGGCTGATTAGGGATAGTCAACATAGCATTGTGTGGGGCAAATTATGTCTCACTAACTTGATTGTGATTTTTTGACGAATGACAGAGAAGATTGATGAAAGCAGAGTGGTACATGTCGTCTATATGGACCTTGACAAGGTTCCGCATGGTAGACTGATTAGCAAGGTTAGATCACGTGGAATCCAGGGGAAGCTAGCCAATTGGATACAGAATTGGCTTGAAGGTAAGAGACAGAAGATGGTGTTGGAGAACGACTGCACCTCCCAGTTGCAAACCATTTCAACTCCCCCTCCGACTCCTTGGACGACATGTCCATCCTGGGCCTCCTCCAGTGCCACAACGATGCCACCCGAAGGTTGCAGGAACAGCACCTCATAATTCGCTTGGGAACCCTGCAGCCCAATGGTATCAATATGGACTTCACAAGCTTCAAAATCTCCCTTCCCATGACCGCATCCCAAAACCAGTCCAGCTCGTCCCCACCTCCCTAACCTGTCCTTCCTCCCACTTATCCCCTCCTCCCACCTCAAGCCCCACCCCCATCTCCTACCTACCAGCCTCATCCCGCCTCTTTGACCCGTCCGTCCTCCCTGGACTGACGTATCCCCTCCCTAACTCCCCATCTACACTCACCTTTACTGGCTCCATCCCCGCCTCTTTGACCTGTCTGTCTCCTCGCTACCTATCTTCTCCTTTATCCATCTTCTATCCGCCTCCCCCTATTTATTTCAGAATCCCCTTCCCCTCCCCCATTTCTGAAGGGTCTAGACCCAAAACGTCAGCTTTCCTGCTCCTCTGATGCTGCTTGGCCTGCTGTGTTCATCCAGCTCTCCACCTTGTCATCTCAGATGGTGATGCAGGGTTGTTTTTCAGACTGGAGGCCTGTGACTAGTGGTGTGTCACAAGAATCAGTGCTTGGTCCACTGCTTTTATCACTTCTTTAAATTATTTGGATGTGAATGTATCTTGCAGAGTCGGTATGGTTAGTAAGTTTGCAGATGACACCAAAATTGGTGGTGTAGTGGACAGCGAAGAAGACTTAGAGTACAATGGGACCTTGATTGGATGAGCAGATGGAGTTTAAATTAAATAAATGAGGTATTGTGTTTTGATAGGGCAAATCAGAACAGGATGTATACAAATAATGGTAGGATCCTAGGGAGTGTTGATAAACAAACAGACCTAGGGGTGCTGATGCACAGTTGTAGTTAGACAGGGTGGTGAAGGCGGCGCTTGGCGCTTTTGCCTTGTTTAGTCAGTGCATTGAGTATAGGAGATGGATGTCATGTCGTGATTGTACAGAACATTGGTGAGGCCACTTTTAGAATGCTGTGTTCTATTCTGGTCTCTCTGCTATCAGAAAGATGTTGTTAAACTTGAAAAGGTTCAGAAAAGATTTACAAGGACATTGCCGGGGTTGGAGGGTTTCAGCTATAGGGAGAAGTTGAATAGGCTGAGGCTTTTTGTCCCAGACTGTCAGAGGCAGAGGGGTGACCTTATAGAGGTTTATAAAATCATGAAGGGCATGGACATGAATAGACAAAAGTCTTTTTCCCAAGGTACAGGAGTCCAAAATTAGAAGTTATAGGTTTAAGGTGAAACAAGAAAGACGTAAAAGGGTCCTGATTGGCAACATTTTCTGGCAGAGGGTGGTGCCTCAATAGAATGAGCTGCCACAAGTACAATTACAACATATAAAACGCACCTGGAAGGTACAATGAATGGAAAGGGATATGGACCAAATGTTGGTAGATTTAACTAGATCCGTTTAGGATAGCTGGTCATCATAGATGAGTTGGATCGAAGGGTCTGTTTCTGTGCTGTATAACTATGACTCTGCAATATCCCTTTGCCACAATGTTTCACAAGCAGCTATTTAAAAGATGCAAATGACTATGTACAGCAGGGCATTTAACTTGTCTTTTTTAAGTTTCGGGTCCGGTGACCCTTCCTGAGAACTGATGGTGGCTGGGAAAACGTCAGTTTATATGCAGAAAATAGGGAGGTGGGTGGAGTAGGGAATAAACGATAGGATAGAGCCGAAAGAGAGAGAAAGACAGTTGGACAGA